GATCAGACATGTGACCACTACTGTTCACAATGTACGTTAACAATTTGGTCTACAGAATCAAAAACTATTTCAAGGCTTACAGATGACATCATTGCTACAGGGGTAGTTAGTATAGTTAATACTGAGGAGAAATGCAACAAATTATGGGACGACATTAATAAACCTCAAGAGTGGGCTGATAATTTTCACCAGGAGAAAGCAGCCCGCTTGATTGGCATTACATCCACAAACATTCACTCACACCACCACCAACACTCAGCAGCAGTATGTTCTATCTGCAAGATCTGCAGAAATTCACCAAAGATGCTTTAGACAGCAGCTTCCAAACCAACAACCACCTACATATGTAAGGTATCTGAGAGCTGGTGCCCCCTCCAATATAGAGGTCAATATACCAGACAACAACAGCACCACCCTTGTCAGGTTTGGAGCTGAGAGTACGGAGGGTAGTCGGTTCAGGGGGAATAGGTTGGAATGGGTAAGGGTGGCAGAGAAATTGATGCGATCAAAGTCACATTGACAGTTCTCACTGTTGTTCGGTGTTCTGATTTCTAAATTGCCGACTGCTAAGCGCCAGCTCTCAAAAACGTCCTCCTATCTCACCCTAGCACAAGACCCCACTGTGGAACACCAGGCTATAGTGTCCACAATGGTCACTAATTTCATTTCATCTGGTGATCTCACCCTGACTGCCTCAAGGCTCACAGACCCCAACCCCACACATACTGCTCTACCTCCTTCCCAAAATCCACAAACAGAACAGAGATCTAGGAGTACAGGTTCACAGCTCCTTGGAAGTGGGGTCACAGAGAGACAGGGTAGTGAAGGCGGTTTGCAGCATGCTTGCTCTCATAGGTCAGAGCACCGAGTATAGGAGTTAGTGTCTTGATGCAGTTGTATAAGACATTAGAGAGGCCACGTTTGGAGTAGTGCATGCAGTTCTAGTCGCCCTACTATAGACAGGATATTGTTAAATTAGAAAAAATGTAGAAAAAAGTTACTAAGATACTACCTGGACTGGAAAGTTTGAGTAATGAGGGCAGGTTGGATAGACTAGGACTTCCACCTTGGAGCGTAGGAGACTGAAGGGTGACCTTATAGAGGTCTATAAAATCATGAGAGGCATAAGTGAGGTAGATAGCCAACAGCTTTTCCCCATGGAAAGGAGTCTAAAACTAGAGGGCATAGGCTTAAGGTGAGACAGGAGAGATACAAAAGGGTCCAGTAGGGGCAATTTTTTCCTAGAGAGTAGCGAGTGTCTGAAATGGGCTGCCAGAGGTAGTGGTGGAGACGAATGCAATTTTGTCATTTAAGAAAATAGAACATAGAACATACATTGAACATAGAACAGTACAGCACAGTACAGCACAGGCCCTTCGGCCCACGACGTTGTGCCGAACTTTTACCCTAATCCTAAAGTCTATCTAACCTCCACCCCTACCTGATACTATCATCCATATGCCTATCTAATAGCCGCGTAAATGCCCCTAATGAGGCTGACTCCACCTACCCTCTCCGGTAATGCATTCCAAACCCCAATCACTCTCTGAGTAAAGAACCTACCTCTGACGTCTCCCCTATATCTACCTCCACTCACTTTAAAATTATGCCCCCTCGTAATACCTATCTCCACCCTAGGAAAAAGTCTCTGCTTGTCCAACTATCGATACCTCTGATCATTTTGTACACCTCTATCAAGTCACCTCGCATCCTTCGTCATTCTAAAGAGAAAAGCCCTAGCTCTCTCAACCTTTCCTCGTAAGATCTTCCCTCCATTCCAGGCAACATCCTGGTAAATCTCCTCTGCACCTTTTCCAATGCTTCCACATCTTTCCTGTAATGAGGTGACCAGAACTGGACACAATACTCCAGATGTGGCCGAACCAGGCTTTTGTCTCGCTGGAGCATAACTTCACGGCTCTTGAACTCAATCCGTCTATTAATGAAAGCTAACACACCATACGCCTTCTTAACAACTCTATCCAACTGGGTGGCAGCTCTCAGGGAACTGTGGACATGAACCCCAAGATCCCTCTGCTCCTCCACAGTGCCAAGAATCTTTCCGTTAACCCTGTATTCGGCTTTCAAGTTTGTCCTTCCAAAATTAATCACACCACACTCATCAGGGTTAAACTCCATCTGTCACTTCCCAGCCCAGCTCTGCACCCTATCAATGTCCCTTTGTAACCTAGAACAGCCCTCCGCACTATCCACAACTCGACCCACCTTCATATCATCCGTGAACTTACTAATCCACCCTTCCACTCCTTCATCCAAATCATTTACAAAAATCACAAATAGAAGAGGACCCAGAACAGATCCTTGTGGTACACCACTCGTAACTGCGCACCATGTTGAATATTTTCCGTCCACTACCACCCTTTGTCTTCCCAGGTCAGCCAAACATTTAGAAATGCACATGGATCAGATAGGTATGGAGGGATACGGACCAAATGCAGGTAAATGGAACTAGTTGAATTGTGAAAACTGGGCAGCATGGGCAAGTTGGGCCTGTTTCCATGCTGTAGGCTTTGATGGCTCTATGACTAGGACTGCTTGGATAGACCCATTGTTTCTGCCTGCTCTTCCCCACAGAACTTCTCTCTTCCTACCCTGAGTCTATTTTTTCACCTCTTACATTTTCCCACTCACATCTACGATTCTTCTGATACTTTACATCAGTTTCAGAATTTCCAGTTCACAGGCTCCAGCTGCCTCCTCTTACTATGGATGCATAATCCCTTTACATGTCCATTTCCCCCCAGGAAAAGAAACTTGAACTGTCCCTAACCACTATCACCCTTCTATGTCTGGCCAAGCTTGTCCTCACTTTGAACAACATTCTGGTCTCCCTGCTCTAGGAAAGATGTTAAACTTGAAAGGGTTCAGAAAAGATTTACAAGGATATTGCTGGGATTGCAGTCTTTGAGCTATAGGGAGAGGCTGAATAAGCTAGGGCTTTTTTCCGTGGGGCGTCGGACGCTGAGGAGTGACCTTATACAGGTTTATAAAATCATGAGGGGCATGGATAGGGTGAATAGCCAAGGTCTTTTTCCCAGGGTAGGAGAGTCCAAAACTAGACGGCATAGATTTAAGGTGAGAGGGAAAGATTTAAAAGGGACTAGAGGCAACTTTTTCACACAGAAGATGGTACATGCAAGGAATGAGCTAGCAGACAAAGTGGTGGAGGCTGGTACAATTACAAGATTTAAAGGCATCTGGATGGGTCCATGAATAGGAAGGGTTTAAAGGCCAAGTGCCAAGTGCCGGCAAATGGGACTAGATCAGTTTACGATCTGGTTGCATGGACAAGTTGAACCTAAGGGTCAGTTTCTGTGCCGTATAACTCTCTAACTTCTGCTTTAAATCCTCCCACTTTCTTCAGGTCAAAACGGTGGCCATGGTAACAGCATGGGGTCCGGTGATGACTGTCTCTTTGCAGGTTATGTGGAACCCAGTCCCCAGCCACATCTCTTTCTTTGCTACATCGATGGCAGCATCACCGATGATGTCCTCTCTCGTTTGGAATTAGAAAAGTTTATCTATTTCGTGTCCAATTTCCACCCCAGTCTCACCCAGTCCATCTCTGTCTCCTCCAAACCCTTTGTCAACATCTCTGTTTCCATTTTTAGGGATAGGCTGGCCACCAATACCCACTAGAAACCCAATGACTCCCACAGTTACCTTGACTATGCATCCTCACACCTTACTTCCTGTAAATCCATTCCCCTAGTTCTCTGTTTCCATCACATACATTACGATGATGCCAGCTTCTACAAGGGGGCCTTGGAAATATCCACCTTCTCCCTCAGCCGAGGACTCCCCAGCACCATGGTTGACGGGGCCCTCAGGTGGGTCCAACCCATCTCCCGCGCTTGGGCCCTCAACCCCTCTCTTCCCTCCCACAATAGTGATAGGGACCTCTCGTCCTCACTTAGCATGCCAACAGCATTCACATTCAAAGAATCATAAGCTGCCATTTCCAACAACTCCAGCAGGGTGCCACCATCAGACACATTCCCCTTCCTCCCTTGTCACCCTTCCACATGGACCGTTCCTCCAGGAACCCTGATCCACTCCTCCTCCACTCCCAATATCACCCCACATCCCCAAGGCACCTTCCCCTGTAATCGTACAGGTTTAACACCTGCCCGTTTACTTTCTCCCTCCTCAGTGTGCAAGGCCCCAGACACACCTTTCAGGTGAAGTAACGATTTACCTGCTTCTTATTCACTCTGGTCTACTGCATTTGCTGCTCACAATGTGGTCTCCTCTACACTGGGGAAATGAATTGCAGACTGGGCAACTGCTTGATAGAATACCTTCTTTCTGTCTGCAAAAATGATCCTAAGCTTCCAGTTGCATGCCACTGCAACACACCACCATATTCCCTGGCCAACACCTGTGTCAGACTTCCTAGTGTTCCAGTGAAGCTTAGCGCAAGCTTGAAGAACAGCATCTCATTTTCCGCTTGGGAATCCTGGAACATTCCGGACTCAATATCGAGTTCAACAATTTTAGGCCTTGAACACCCTTTCCCATGTCCTTACCCCAACCCACACACACCAAGACTTGTCATCCCATAGGTTGCTACCACAAACTACCCATTGTCAGCCACTAATGGTCCCAATTAGCAGCTACTCATTCTCCTAGGCTGACTTTTACCCATTCCTTTGTCTGTGTAACTGCTCTTCTCAGAGGAGTGGTTGAGAATGAGAGTCTTTCATGGTTGCCTCGGTTGGTGTGGGGATTGAACTCACGCCGTTGGTGTCACTCTGCATTACAAACCAGCCATCCAGACAACTGAGCTAACCATTCACCACTCATTGCACAAAAATATTGCTTTTTTCACCCTCTTTGCAACTCTTATCCAAACATTAATTCTGTGGCCCCTTTTAAAAGCCTCATTAAAATCTATTCGGACAGTATCAAATGAAACATCCGCATCAACAATCCACGTCTCGGTTCTCCAACGCTCGATCAGAAATAACCTCACTCACTTCATCTTCATCATCCTCCTTCTCCTCATCATCCTCTTCATCTGTCTCACTTTGCTGTTTACCATATCCCAGGGGTAGAGGGGGGCCCACAGCACTTTCCCCCTCAACATCCAATCTACGCATCTGCGATGGTAATGTGGGTCCAGATTTTTCACTTTCATTGTCACTGTCATCACTTCCATTTTCGCTGTCAACAGGTGATCTGCAGAGAGATAATCAACAATGTCATATGCACCACAAAGACGGCTAAACACCAAGTACACTGCCGAACACAGTATTAAAAAAAAAGGGCTTGCAAGAAAGAAATTACAACAATTACGAACAATTTCATTCTTCTTATCAATTAAACCAATCAAACTAGCCAACTTCGCCTTGAGGATGAATTCATAAAACATAGTCAGGGCACCTTCTGAGAACAGGATGTTTTGGGCCCAGAGAAAAGGCTTTTTTTAGGTCTAGTAACGAGTAAGGAGTCAAGATTATGTAGTCATCTCAGAGTAAAGAGTCTTCAAGGCAAGAGTAATCACAACATGATTAAAAAAAGCCACTGAAAGAGGAATGCCCACGACAGATCAAGAGGGAAATTTGTTTGTGGAGCCAGAGAACATTGGTAAAGTCTTAAATGAATCCTTTACATTTATCTATACTCAGGAGGAGGAGAACCTCAATATGGGAGGAAGCACAGTGGCTCAGTGGTTACCATATCTGCTCCGGTTTCCTCCCACTGTCCAAAGATGTGCAGATTAGGTGGACTGGCTGTGCTAAATTGCCCTTGTGTCAAGGGATGTGCAGGCTAGATGGATTAGCCATGGGAAATGCAGGGCTACAGGATTAGCGGGGGATGGATCTGGGTGGGATGCTCTTTGGAGGATCGGTGTGGACTGGATGGGCTGAATGGCCTGCTTCGACTTTGCAGGGATTTTATGATTCTACTCTATGTTGGACTGTAAGGTTCTTCAGCAGATTGATACAGTGAGTGAAGAGGTGTTGGAGGTTTACAGGCTTAAAAATGATCCCGAGGTCCAGATGAGTTGGCTCACAAGATCATCAGTAAGCTTTGTAATCAGGAAGGAGAGATCACATCCAGAGTGAGATATAGCCTGAGTGAATATATAACTCAGGGACAAAAACAGAAATTGTTGCAAACACTCAGCAGGTCTGGAAGCATCTGTGGAGACAAATCAGAGTTAACGTTTCCGGTCAAGTGACCCTTCCTCAGAAATCGGGAATTTTGGAGCAGTGTGGGAATTTGGTGCAGAGGGGAAGAGGTACTTTTCCCTTGCCTATTTAGTTTATTGTTTGTAAGGCTTTTTAAACAGATTGTGAACTGTGGAATTCTCTCCCACAGGAAGTTGTTGGGGCCTGTACATTAGATATATTCGAGAGAACTGGATGTGGCCCTTGCCGCTAACAGGATCAAGGGGTATGGAGAAAGCTGGAATGGGATACTGAAATTGCATGATCAGCCATGATCATATTGCATGATGGTGTTGGCTCAAAGGGTTGAATGACCCAGTCCTGCACCATTTTTTAAAAATTTCTAGGAAGTGACCAGCTGGGTAGATGAGGGCAATGTTTTTGATGTAGTTTATTCAGCCTTCAATAAAACTTTTGATAATGTCCTCCATGGGAAACTGATAGCAAAGCTATAAGCCCATATGATCCATGGAACTTTGCAAATTGGATCCACAATTGGCTGAGTAGCAGGAAGCAGAGAATAATGGTTGAGTGGTGGCTTTTGAACTAATCATCCGTGTCCTGTAGGGACCCAGAGGAGTCGGTATTTGGGCCATTACTGATTGTGGTTTATATGAATTATTTAGACTCAAACATAAGAAGGTTGATCAGTAAGCTCGGAGAAAATACAAAAATTAGTGGGAGGTAATTTTTTTTTCTATTCATTTGTGGGATGTAGGTGTCACTGGCTGGCCAGCATTTCTTGCCCATCCCTAGTTGCCCTTGAGAAGGTGGGGATGCGCTGTCTTCTTGAACTGCTGTCCCCCAGCTGTCGGTTGACCCACAATGCCATTAGGGAGGGAATTCTAGGATTTTAACCCAGCAACAGTGAATGAACAGTGATATATTTCCAAGTCAGGACACTGAGTGGCTTGGAGGGGAACTTGGAGGTGGTGGTGTTCCCATATGTCTGCTGCCCTTGTCCATCTAGATGGAAATGGTCATGGGTTTGGAAGGTGCTGTCTGGGATCTTTGGTGAATTTCTGCAGTGCATCTTGTAGATAGTACACACTGCTGCCAATGAGCGTCGATGGTGAAGGGAGTGAATGCTCGTGGATGTAGTGCCAATCAAGCAGGCTGCTTTGTCCTGGATGGTGTCAAGCTTCTTGAGTGTTGTTGGGGCCGCACTCATCCAGCCAAGTGGGGAGTATTCCATCACACTCCTGACTTGTGTCTTGCAGATGGTGGACAGGCTTTGAGGAGTCAGGAGGTGAGTTACTCGCCGCAGTATTCCTAGCTTCTGGCCTGCTCTTGTAGCCGCGGTTTTTATGTGGTGAGTCTAGTTGAGTTTCTGGTCAATGGTAACCCCCAGGATGTTGATAGTGGGGAAATTCAGTGATGGTCACACCATTGAATGTCAAGGGGCAGTGGTTAGATGGATTCTTATTGGTGATGGTCATAGCCTGGCATTTGTGTGGCACGAATGTCACTTGCCAATGTCAGCCCAACCCTGGATATTGTCCAGATGTTGTTGTATTTGAATGCGAGGAGGATAGCCTGGGCTGGTCAATGGCAAATGGAATTCAATGTGGATAAATGTGAGGTGATGCACTTGGGCAGGACAAACAAGTCAAGGGAATACACATGAATGGTCAGACCTCAGAAAGCACCGAGGGTCAGACGGACATTGGTGTATATGCACACCGATCCCTTAAAGTATCAGGACAGCTGAATAAAGTGGTTAAAAAGGCATATAGGATATTTGTCTTTATTAGCTGAGGCAAACAGTATGAGAGTAGTGAAGTTATGCTGAAAGTGCATACAAGGTTGGTTAGGCTACAGCTATTGTACTGTGAGCAATTCTGAAATCCACATCTAAGAGAAATGCAATAGCACTGGAGAGAGTGCAGAGGAAATTTACCAGGATGTTGCTTGGGCTGGACAGTGTCAGTTATGAAGAAAGACTAGACAGACTGGGATACTTTTCAATGGAGATGAGGAGATTAAGACGGGACAGGACTGAGATGTACAAAATTAGGGACATGACAGGAAGAAACTTGCACCCTTGATGGAGGGATCAATGACCAGGGAGCATAGGTTTAAAATAAGGGAAAGAAGTTTTTCTTTTAAATCATTCACAGGATGAGGGTGTTGCTGGCTAGGCCAGCATTTATCACCCATCCCAGAGGGCAGTTCAGAGTCAACCACATTTGTTGGGTCTGGAGTCACGTATAGTCCAGACGAAGTACCAATGGAAGTTTCTTTCCCTAAAGGACATTAGTGAACCATATGGTTTTGTTCGACAGTGGTTTCATTCGACAGTGGTTTCATGGTCATGATTACACTCTTAATTCCAGACTTTTTTTTGTTGAATTCAAACTCCACCATCTGCCAGATGGAGCAGGTGGAATTTGAACCTGGGCTCCCAGGACATTACCTGGGTCTCTGGATTAACAGTCCAGTGATAATTTTACAAAACCATCAGCTCCCACTTTTAGATGAGATGCAAGGGAAAATATTTTGATCCAAAAGGCAGTGGGAGTTTGGAAATCATTGCCTGCAAGGGTGGCAGAGGCAGAATCCATCATAACCTTGATGAAGTGTTTAGATATGCACTTGTGATGCCAAGGCAAACAAAGCCACGGGCCAAGTACTGAAAAATGGGATCAGAATAATTGGATGGTTGTTTTTGACTGACATGGACATGAAGAGATGACCTTTTTTTTGTTCTGTAAATCGCTATGACTCAAATGAGATGTTGTTCCAAGTTGAGCTTCATTGGAACAATTTATTCCATTTAGTCACTTTACAGTATCTGGTACTCAATATCAAGTCTCACAACTTCAGAGGATGACCTCTGCCCTCTATTTTTCTTGCATCCCCACCCATCCCCAGTTGTGTCTGGTTGGCTTCATTCTGAACTGAACAAACCCATTTTCACTTGCACACACCTGACATTTACAAAAAGACATTCATAAATTGCTGGAGAAACTCTGCAAGTCTGGCACCATCTGTGGAGAGAAATCAACACTTTAGATCCAGTAACCCTTCATCAGGTGGTTCTTGTTTTATTTTAATATTTACACCTGTCTTAAATATCTATCTGAAGAACCATGGAATCCCTATGGTGTGGGAAAAGGCTCCTTCCTTGCTCTTATGCCACACACACATATGTACACATACTTAACATGTGTACACATATGCCACTCCTCTGATACACAAACACACACAGTCTGCACAAGCAGGGAGGGCCCAGCTATTTGGCTGCTACCTGGTCAAATCTCCAGTGTGGCCTTTCCTGGAGGGGGAACCTGATCTCCCAGCGCAGCTTGTTGGCTCGTAGGGCCTCTCCACACTTCTCTCCTCCTCTGTTGACATAAAACATCAAAAGTTCAGAAAAAAATAACAAAAACCAAGTATGATAATGACTGAGTTAAGACTCCAGACGGACTGACATTTTGAAAGACTTGTGAATGTATCCCGAGCACTGGCCACAATCTTGATCTTACCCAGCACTTTCCTGCTCCTCTCAATTGCAGTGCGACGAGTCTGTTCAAATATAGCCTCCAAGTCAAAGGTTCTAGCTTTCTTTCCTGAGAAAAGAAAGTTGTGTTTATTTAGGAACACTTCAACACAACACATGTTCTCAAATAAAAACTGAAATAACTGAGTATGCCGGAAGTCAGAAACAAAAACAGAAATTGCTGAAAAGATTCAGCAGATCTGGCAGCATTTGTGGAGAGAAATCAGAGTTATGTTTCGGGTTCAGTGACCCCTCCTCAGAACTGAAGGAAAGATCCCAAAACGTTAACTCTGATTTCTATCCACATTTTCTGAAATATTTCGTAATCCAGTATTTTTTTCAACCACTGCAGTCCAGATGCTGTAGGTTGACCCATAATGCTGCTCATAAGGCAATTGCGGGATTTTGACCCAGCAACATTGAAGGAATGATAATATATTTCCAAAGTCCGAATAGGGGCTGGCTTGGTGGGAAACTTGCATCTGCTTCCCTTGTCGTTCTTGATGAAAGAGGTCATGGGTTTGGAAGGTGCTGTCTCAGGATATTTCGTGAATTTTTTCAATGTATATTGTTAATGGCACATACTGTTGATACTGAGTGTCGGTGGTGAACGGAGTAAATTTTTGTAGATGTAATGCCAATCAAGCCAGCTGCTTTGTCTTGGATGGTCTTTTGGGACAAAAAGCAACATTGGCCAACTGAACAGCACTCTGGGAAAAAATGGCCAAATGAATGGCATGCTGGGAAGGGAACCCACATACTATATCAGGAAGCTTGCAGATTTCACTGTCAAATTGGATCAGGCTAGACAGTTCACCTTGACTGACTATACTGAATGGATGTTGATGAGACAACACTGCGAGGGTTCAGATGGAACAATAATTCAAAGTTTTAGCAGAACTGTTTTCGAGACAGCCTGGCACCTCAAGTCAGCTTTTGTATACCTTTTCCTGGGACAGAAACGCGTAGTAATTGAATTATGTTAATTACATTGCTGTACCAAACTGCTGCAACTACATAGGAGGGATCTGCATGTTAGTTACCCCGCCAACATATTAAACTATGATAAGTTACTGCACTTAGGGATGACCCAGAGACCTGTATTTAAAGGGGTCACTTGAATCAGAGGGCCTGACACTCTGTAGACAATGTTAGCACAAGAAGCAGGAACTTAAGGAATCAGATGATCAACCTCAATCTCAGTTTGGCCATTAGAAATCAGGGTAGTATGAACTTCTTTACCATCTTGCATTTGCAAAACAGATTTTAACCCTGTGTGAGAACGCTGTAATTTGAGAACTGTAAGGTTACTTTGGAAATTAGAGGAAAAAAACAGGTTTCATAGAATTGCATGTTTATGTTTGTGTTTCAATGATGGTAAACCACGTCTCATCTTTCGTGTAAAACAAGTCCCAGTAAGTAAGTAAATCAGAGACACATGAAAACGAGGCTTACACAATCCCCCTTTCTAACAGATGTACTGTTTCGCATATTAAAGAAAAAAAATCCTGCGGATGCTGGAAATCGGAAACAAAAAGTCCATATGTGACATGTGGAAGTTATTTAAAGACCTGCTGATCAGAGTTCAAGACCTCTATGTTCCAGTAAGGAGGAAGGACGGCAAGGTAAAGGACCCTTGGATAACAAAGGAGGTTGTGAATTTAGTCAAAAGGAAAAAAGAAGCAAATGTAAGGTTTCAGAAGCTAAAATCGGACAGGGCCCATGAGGAATATGAAGAAAGCAGGAAAGAACTCAAGTGAGGAATTAGGAGAGCAAGAAAGGGCCATGAAATGACTTTGGCAAGTAGGGTTAAAGAGAATCCTAAGGTATTCTATACATACATTAAAGATAACAGGATAACTAGGGAGAACGCAGGATCACTCAAGGATAAAGGAAAGAACTTGTGCTTGGAGGCAGAGGATATACGTGAGATCCTAAATGAGTACCTTGTGTCAGTATTCACCCAGGAGAAGGATATGGAGGATACTGAGATTAACGCGGAGCATGCTAATATGCTGGGGCATTTTGAGATCAAGAAAGAAGCGGTGTTGGATCTCTTGAGGTACATTAAGGTAGATGAGTCCCTGGGGCCTGATGGGATTTACCCCAGGTTATTGAGAGAGGCAAGAGTGGAGATTAGTGAGGCCTTGACCAAGATCTTTGTATCCTCACTAGACCCTGGAGGAGTCTCGGAAGACTGGCGAGTAGCTAATGTTCTCTGTTCAAGAAGGGACATAGGGATAATCCAGGAAACTGTAGACCAGTGAGTCTCACATCGGTGGTTGGAAAGCTTTTGGAGAGAATTCTTAGGGATAGGATTGACACGCATTTGGAAAAGTCGGCCTAATTAGGGACAGTCAGTGTGGCTTTGTGCGGGACAGGTTATGTCTTACTAGTTGATTGAATTTTTTGAAGAAGTGACAAAGGTGATCAATGAGGATAGGGTTAGGGTTAGGGTCCGGGTCCCCACCCAAAATGTCAACTTTCCTGCTCCTCTGATGCTGTCTGACTTGCTGTGTTCCACCAGCTCCACGCTATATTGTTTCTGACTCCAACATCTGCAGTTCTTGCTATCTCCATAGAGCAATTGATGTTGTCTACATGAACTTTAGTGAGGCTTTCAACAAGGTTCCTCGTGGTAGGCTCATCCAGCTGATTAGGATGCATGGGAGCCATGGTGATGTGGCCGTGTGGATTCAGAATTGGCCTGCCCATAGAAGACAGGTGGTAGTGGTGGAAGGGTGTTTTTTGACTAAGTTCGGTGACTAGTGGTGTTCCACAGGGATCTGTACTGGGACCTCTGCTGTTTGTAATACACATAAATGACTTGGATGAAAATGTTGATGGGTGGGTTACTAAGTTTGCAGATGATACAAAGGTCGCTGGAGTTGTGGGTAGTGTAGAAGGTTGTCAACGGATAGAGCGGAACATAGATCAGTTACAGATACGGGCAAAGAAATGGCAGATGAAACAAAAACAAAGTTGCTGGAAAAACTCAGCAGGTCTGGCAGCAACTGTGAAGAAAAAAACAGAGTTAACGCTTCGGGTCTGGTGACCCTTCCTCAGAAGGAGTTTAATCTGTATAAGTGTGAGGTGCTGCATTTTGGGAGAAGAAATGTTAAGGAAAAGTATACAGTTAATGGCAGGACTCTGCACAACACTGATATACAGAGGTATCTTGGGGTTCAAGTCCACAGCTCCCTAAAAATGGCCGCACATGTAGATAGGGCGGTAAAGAAGGCGTATGGCATGCTTGCCTTTATTGGTTAGGGAACTGAGTACTAAAGTCAGGAAGTCACGTTGCAGCTCTGTAAGTCTTCAGTTAGAACATAGAACATAGAACATTACAGCGCAGTACAGGCCCTTCGGCCCTCGATGTTGCGCCGACCTGTGAAACCAATCTGAAGCCCATCTAACCTAAACTATTCCATTATCATCCATATGTTTATCCAATGACCACTTAAATGCCCTTAAAGTTGGCGAGTCTACTACTTTTGCAGGCAGGGCATTCCACGCCCTTACTACTCTCTGAGTAAAGAGAACATTAGGCCACACTTAGATTACTGCATTCAATTCTGGTCACCATATTACAGGAAGGATGTGGAGGCTTTGGAAAGGGTTCAGAAGAGGTTTACTAGGATGCTGCCTGGATTAGAGAGTATAAGCTATGAGGGCAGGCTAGAAAAACTCTTGTTATTTTCTCTGGAGCAGCGCAGGTTGAGGGCAGGCTTGATAGAAGTCTATAAAATTATGAGATGCATACATAGATTTGACGGTCAGAATGTTTTTTTCCAGCATTGAAATATCTAATAAGAAAGGCCATGCACTTAAGGTGAGAGGCAGTAGTTGAAAGGAAATGAGAGGGACAAATTTTTTTACACAGAGAGTGGTAGGTGCCAGGGGTGGTGGTGGAGGCAGATACGACAGGGGCATTTACAGAACTTTTACATTAGCGCATGAATATGCAAGGAATGGAGGGATTTGGACCAACGGCAGGCAGAAAGGATTAGTTTAATTTGGCGTCATATTCCGCACAACATCGTGGGCCCATTCCTGTGTTGCGCTGTTCTATGTTCTATGTTCTAGAAACAGAAACAGAAATTGCTATAAAAAAAACTCAGCAGGTCCGGCAGCACCTGTGGAGAGAAACTGGAGTTAGTGTTTTGGACCTGAAACGTTAAATCTGATTTCTGTCCACAGATGCTGCCACACGTGATGAGTTTAACCATCAACTTTTGCTTTTGTTTTTGTTTTTATTTTGGACACTGTTGGGGCAGATGACTGTGCAGGGAAAAGCAGTGGGAGCCAACTTCATGGCACCGTGGCCAGGTCTGCTGCACAAGAGCAGAGGAAGAAGAACAGCAGCACTTGTGGTAGGGGATTCAATTCTATGGGAAGCAGACAGGTGCTTTTGCAATCACAAAAGTGACTCCAGGATGCAAAGACAGGGATGTCACAGAACGGCTCCAGGGCATTCTGAAGGGGAGGACAAACAAACAGAAATTGTGGCATGTATTGATACCAATGACAACAAAAAGGGACAAGATCCTGCAAGTCGATTTCAGCGAGCTTGGAAGTGGATTAAGGAACAGGACCTAAAAGGTGGTAATTTCTCGATAACTTCCAGTGCCACGTGAAAGTGAGTACAGAAATAGGCTAGAGACAGTAGGAACTGCAGATGCTGGAGAATCTGAGATAACAAGGTGTAGAGCTGGATGAACACAGCAGGCCAAGCAGCATCAGAGGAGCAGGAAGGCTGAGAGGAGACAGACAGGTCAAAGAGGCGGGGATGGAGCCAGTAAAGGTGAGTGTAGGTGGGGAGGTAGGGAGGAGATAGGTCAGTCCAGGGAGGACAGACAGGTCAAGGGGGCAGGATGAGGTTAGTAGGTAGGAGATGGAGGTGGGGCTTGAAGTGGGAGGAGGAGATAGGTGGGAGGAAGGACAAGTTAGGGAGGTGGGGACAAGCTGGGCTGGTTTTGGGATGCGGTAGGGGGAGGGGAGATTTTGAAGGTTGTCAAGTCCACATTGATACCATTGGGCTGCAGGGTTCCCAAACGGAATATGAGGTGC